TTATTTTACAGTTAAAATAAATGTTTATCAAATAAAGTCTAATGTTACAACTAATCAGGGATCCCTTTAAAAGTAAAAGTAAGAGTTTAAGTCACTGTTTGTATTGTTTGTTTTTATATTAAATTCATTAGCCCGCGGGTCTAGAGTTGGACACACGCTCTACATGAATTTCAGACCACTTTTTTTTGTTTTGTTGTTGTTTTGCAGAAACTCCCCAACCTAAAAAACTGGAGGACGTCCAACACAGGAGTCACAGACGAAAACAAGAAAAAGAATCGCTCTTCATCCATCATCCCATGTGAGTAAAATCTGTCTGTCTCTGTCTGTCTGTCGTGTTCACGTACAGTCGGCCTAATTAGAACGAGTTCCTCTTTTGAATCTGCGTCAAACCTCAGTCGACTACAACCGAGTGCTGCTGAGGCTGGACGAGGGCCGCAGCCAGGACAGTAACACTGACGACGAGGATGAGGACGAGTCATCAGATGAAGAGGATGAGGACGAGGCCACAAAATACATCAACGCCTCCCACATTCATGTACGCTTTTCCACTATTATCAGTACTTATTTCATGTAAAGAATGACTGTTTTATTTGATAAAACGGTGAGGATTCAAATATAAATAAAGTTTTATTTATTTGTGCTGGATAGAAGAGTAAATAAATGTTTTTCTCCCACGCAGGGTTATTGGGGGCCTCGGGCTCTGATCGCAGCACAGACTCCTCTGACAGACACCTTTGCTGATTTCTGGTCGATGGTTTACCAGAAGAAAGCATCGATTATAGTCATGCTGTCTGAGAACAAAGAGGTACTAAATCACAATGAAACGTCTAGGAGCGTGTTCTGAATGACTTTGGAACGTTTAACGTTGGTTTTCTTGTCTCTTCTCGCTGACAGGACAGTGAGCCTTTGTACTGGAGCAAAGAAAAACAGACGTTTGGGGACTACGAAGTGGAAGTGACGAGTACAGAYATCTCCCCGATTTTCATCTCCCGCAGGATGCAGCTCCGTCACGTTAAGGTAAAACACGTTCCAGTTATGTTACGGGGGTGGGGGGAGTTTTTACGTTAAGAGGCGTCTGAAGCCAACGCTACGTCTGCTGACAGAGAAAAGAGAGTCGTCAGGTGAAACACTTCCAGTTCCTGAAGTGGCAGGACACGGGGCTGCCGGAGAAACCTCAGGACCTCGTAGACATGATGAAAGACATCAGGAGCAACTGTGACGGCAGATCCCAGAAAGGCATTCCTGTCGTGGTCCACTGCGAGTAAGAAACGCTCACGCAGTCTGCAGCCTGTAAACAGAATAAATGCATTCATTGACAGATGTAGAAACTCTGTCCTGTGTCCTCACTGTCGTTTTGTCTCCTCAGTGACGGCTCGTCCCGTTCAGGGATCTTCTGCGCTCTGTGGAACCTGCTGGACAGCGCTGAGACTGAGAAACTGGTGGACGTCTTCCAGGTGATCAAAACTCTACGGAAAGAGAGACAGGGGATCATCTCCAGCCTGGTAAGAGAGACGAACCCATCGAGTCGCATGTTGGGAATATGTTTTGTTAGTCCTTCCTGCTTCCATTTTAGATTTGTCTGTTTGTCCCAAGAAATCAGGACAGATACTTTCTTCTAATTGCTGTAAAATGTTTAAAATACAACTTTAAATGGAACAAAAAGAAAACGATGATGAAAGCCCAACAGTTTTACTCTGTTCTTTAAACTTAAAAAAGTAAAGGCCTAAAATGAAGCTGCTAATTTTACTTTTTATAAACATCTGACTAAATATGATTTGTTCATTCGTATTTTTAAACATGCAGCTCATTCAGAACCAAATCTTTTTAAATCCTTACAAAGGAATACATTAACATCTCTTCACTTGCTGCAACATGTCCCCTCTTTTTGTCTTCTTGTGCTTCTTCTATTTTCAGGTTTTTCACTAGCTTTTCTCTACTTTTAGCTTTTAGCTGGAATTTGGCTACTTTGAGCTTTTAGTCAATMTTTTGCAATTTTAGCTTTTAATTCTTGATACTTTTAGCTTTTGGTTAGCCATTTGTTAGCCTAGCTGTTTGATATATTGTCTAGCTTTTTGCTGGATTTGGCCTTTAGTTACCACATGACTTTCGATACATTTAGCATCAAGTTAGATTCTTTAAACTTTTAGCTAGACCTGTACTACTTTTGTTCTTTGGTTAGCCTTTTGATATTTTATCCTTTAGCTGTCATTTTTCTTCTTTGAGCCAGTCTTTTGCAACTTTAGCTTTTAGTATTGATACTTTTAGCTTCTAGCCAAGCTGTTTAATATGCTACCAAGCCTTTAGCCAGTTTTGGCCTTTAGTTATCACTTGGCTACTTTTAGCTAATCTTTAATGCTTTTAGCATTTAGCTAGATTCTACTTTTAGCTAGACTTCTGCTCTTTCTACTCTTAATTAGCCTTTTGCTATTTTTAGCTTTTAGCCAATCTTTTGCAATTTTTAGTTTTTGATTAAACTTTAGATACTTTAACTTATAGCTTTATTTTTTTAAAAAAAACATACAGCTATACTTCTGCAATTTTAAGCCTTTAGTTTTCTTTTTGCTACTTTTAGCCTGCATTTAGCTACTTTTTGGCTTTGAGCTAGTGTTCTGCTTCTTCATTCAGTTCTCATCAGTCATTTTTTTGTGACATAAATTTTAGTTTTTAATTTGTGTCCATTTCTAAATTAAATCATACAAATGTGAGCACCGGAGCAGCACCAGTGAAGGTTTAAAATCCTGAGCAGCATTATAATAATGTCTTGTGCTTCCGGTTACCTCTCTCTCAGGAGCAGTATCAGTTCCTTTACAACGCACTGGAGGGCGCCTTTCCTGTGCAGAACGGGGAAGTGAAACCAGTGAAGGCCGCTGCAGCTGAGTGCCTTCAGATTGTGAATGAAACCAAAGCAGCAGTGCAGCCAGCAGAGAAGGACGCCTGCACCACCGGCAGCGACCAGCAGGCGGCGGCAGAGAGCGCCCCTCTGGTGTCACAGGATGAGAAAGAAACCAAAACAGAGGAGCCTTCAAAGGAGAGCAGCCCCCCCACAGAGACCACACCACTGGAAGAAACCAGCAATGGACCCACTGTCTCTGTGGAGGTCTGAGAGGACAGGACAGGATGGGGACAAAGACGGGGACACCGTCATACCTTTTATATCTGGGAACAAACGCTTCACTGCAATGCTTTTTTAAAAAAAAGAATATATTTTGAATGTACAAACATTGTAAAGCTACATGTTGCTTTGGTGCAAAAGCTGCCTTAGAATTTGAATAAATAGCCTATTTTATGTTTATTTCTAAAATTATCGTTGGTTTCAACTGCTGTAACTTATAAATTATTTGTGAAGGAAGCGCAAGAAGATGAAAAAGATTGTTTTTACCGGATAAATCAACCAAAAACTGCTGTTATCAAACTAGAACTTTATGAAACACCAAAGACACGCCATTTAAATATAAAATAAGTTGGTTTGTATCTAGTAAATGTTATAGTTAGCTTGTATCCTCACTTCCGGCTATTGTTCACTTATATCTGATCGAAATTTGGTTCAGAATTTATCGTGYAGCCTTTGTACCTTTTTGGCTAAAATAAAACTAGTGAAGAGTTGTACTCATTCAGATTGGATGTCCTGTGGTTTCGCTGATGTGTTTGTGGGTGAACGTCACACTCTGAAGACTCACACCATCTCAGTAAACATTTATTGTAGTCACAAAAAATGTAGAAAAAGGAACAAACACAAGTTTGCTAAAACATAAAATTCACAAAATAACCGCGCTTTTAAAATCAGCAGTTTGTCGTTGCTGAAGGCAAATACAAAATATAAGACACACAACATGTAAAATGAACAGTTTCCCTCAGAATCAGGTGATTTTCTCTGATTAAATGTTTGCTACATTTTGTCTAAACTCTAAAAAATAAACTTTAAAAACTGAAGTGCAAAAAGTATTTTCTACATACAAAAAATCTAATACTAAAGAAGTGAAATCTCTGATCGTCCTCACATTCTGCAGCTCTCTGTAAAAATATGAAAAGTTTGTTAAAAAAAACCTGAAAATATGCAGGAATACATTAATTTACATAATTCATAAATGATCACGTTCAATTTCAACTGTAAACCTTTTTTTTACAGGTAAGAAATATGTATATACCTTATAAAATTTGTCAGTTAAAACCTTTTAAATTTCATTTGTACAAGGTATTAAAAATTTGATGAATGTATTTGAAATGAATGCAGTACGTTATGAAATATTTTTATACTTTAAACATTTTTTTCACCATGTTACAAAATGTACTGGAATAAAAACATTTTATTACCGCTTGTCTAAAAAGAAAAAAGCTAAAATCCATAAAGCATAAAATGATGGTTTTACTTGTTTACCCTGAGAACTGTGAGTAATTTTGTGTAAAATGAACACAGCATTGGTATTTTTCAGATCCATCAGCAAATCTTTGCATAGTTTTAACACCTGAGTTTTATGTGTTCAGATGAGGCTTGAAGGTTTGATGAACTTGTACTAAATTTAATCCTGTGTGCTTGACTGAGCATCGTTTAAGGAAGCAGCAGATTTACTTTCACTTCTGTCCTGAGCAGCATTTAATCAGACTTTTGTTCTTTTCAGCTTGACGAGTCACAACATTCATCTCTGRACTTGTATCCACATCTCTTTACTATTCAAGGATGACAACATTTCTTGGCGCGCGGTGCAAAATCTCTTGCTTATCTGTTGGGTAAACTAAGATGTAAAAAGTGAAAAATACAATTTTTTTTAATTTGGTGAACTATTTTCTTTACTCTTGTTAAAGTCTATGATGCTTTAAAATAAGTGTTACCGTTACAAAACACACCCCAGCATCCAAACAGTCTGTTTTAAAAGTGTTAAAATCAAGATGATTTTTACTCCCAGTTTCACGTCAAAGATCATCTCTTTTGCCATTTGGTTGTTTTTTCTCACCATCCTTCCTGTGGCTCTGAATTACTTTTTTAAATTTTCTCAGAAAGCAACTTCAAGGCACGACCACGTCTTCCTAAGCTGCATGTTTGAGACACCTGTGAGCTGAAAATTGAACCATCTTCTTGTTTATTTCAGTAGCTGAACTCTCCGGAGTGTTTCTAACCTTGGTAGGACCAACAAACCGGCTCTGATGAACTGGTTCCTCTTCAGGTTTTGCAGCTCAATTTTCAGGAAGTGCTGCCTGAGCTGTGATCTGGAACAGCTTCACTCTGACTCGGTTCGGTTAGGTTTGCTTGGCAGATGAAGGCCGGACCTTGGCGGACTCGGATGAGGACCGGGTGTTTTCTGTTTGAGCTTTGGCGGTTTCCGGACGGGTTTTGGGCTCCTTTTTCGGTGGTGGAAGGGTGATTGGTTCCCAGAGGAAGAACTCATGCAGGAGAGAGTTGACGGCCTCAGGACACTCCAACATGACCATGTGACTACCGTCCTCCAAGACCTTCAGAAACGCCATGAGGAGAATCTGACAAGAAACATCATTAATATGACAAAGTTACATTTTCATTCATTTCCTAATGGATTACTGGAATTTTATTAATGTAGGAAGTTAATAGTTTTTTTGGCAAATACTAAAATTGATACTATATTTTTACAAAGATTTATTATAATCGTATATATATA